CAAGTCACCAATCACTCGCAGACTAGTCGCCTATGAACCAGAGATCTGCAACCCCCAAAAAAGGGCAACACATGGTTTCTCAATTGAATTGTTTCCAATCAATTGATGTGCATCCATTCATATGAACTAGCAATTGACGCCCAATGATGGAGAATCAGTTCTGAGCTTCTACAGTGTAGATTTTGCACACGTGCTATATGTATTATGTGGGAGCTAAAAAGTTCACCAATATTAGACATTAGCAGATAATGACAACAATAATAATGGCTCTAAATAGTTTTGCTAGTCCTGCAACTAGGAATACATGGTAGGCCAAGCTGTATCACATATGTTGGCGAGACACTGTTCTCAAAATGTATAAAACCACGATAGATATTTCAGTAAGGGTTGGAAATGGAGGTCCGAACATGGTTAGAGAAGGCATTCAATACATAACACTATAAAGTTCAAGAACTCTTACCCATCTGGTGAATGATGAGCCAAAGCCAGTTTTAAGAAGTGATGGAAGAAGACAGAAGAGAGAGACAGATAGACAGAAGCGTCTTTGAGGAGAGAGAACGTTCGATACAGATAGAGATAGAGGAGAGAGAAATAGTGTGTTTGTGTATTTTGTATTAAATGTGATTAAAAAAATAAGGGCAAACATGTCTTTTCTCACTTTTTTAACTGACGAAAAGCAAAATTGGACCTAACTGATAGTTATTTTCCAAAGATGTTTTAGGCTGATATTTGGCCAAACTTTAGAGGGTGTCAATGGAATTAACCCTAATATTTTTAACATCATTTTTATACCTTACATAAATATTATGTAATTATTTATATAATAGAATTCTATTCTCAGAGAAGAAATGTCTTTCATGTACTTTCTTAACACTCTTTTCAATACCCTACCATGTAATCCAAAACCCATATATTTTAAATTTTACGTTCTTTAATCTTTTGTAAAATTCTTTTCGATATCCAAAACCTATATATTTTAAATTTTCATTAATTATTTATATAATAGAATCATTATTATTTATTATTTTATTTTTTTTGGTAATCGTCGGTGTCTGGACCAGCTTGCGCGCACCTCAACTAATCCTACGAGACCCTGAAAATATATAATAGAATTATGTTCGTAGATAAGAATTCTTTTTCACTTTCTTTAATTTTTGTAACACATTTTTTAATACCCTACATAAATATTATGTAATTCAAAACACTTATATTATAAATTTTACTTTCTTGAATTTCTGTAACACCATACCTACATAAATATTATGAAATCCAAAACTCATAGATTTAAAATTTCCATCAATTATTTATATAATAGAATTTTATTCCTAACTAAGAATTATTTTTCAAGTATTTTTTTTTAATCTTTGTAACACCCTTTTCAATACCCCACCTAAATATTATTCAATCCAAAACTCATATATTTTAAATTTTACTTTCTTTAATCTTTGTAACACCCTTGTCGATACCATACATAAATATTATGTAATACAAAATCCATATATTTTAAATTTTCATATTTATTTATTTCATTGAGTGAATGTGGTTGTTTTATTAATATTTTTGTATTATAAATATAAAATTGTTATGAGTATCAGATATTGAGGACAAAAATGTAATATGTACAACTTTCAGACTTCAACTTTTGTATATAACAAACAATCTTAATGAGTTCAGCACTTAAAATTAAAATATTATCAAACAGGTTTTCAAATTAATACATTTAGCGCATAAAGTTTCAGCGTTTAAAATTCAGTACTTGAAATTTTCAATACTTAATTTTCAATTTCATCAAACAGCACCTTAGTGTTGTTTTTTGAACTCTAAAACCTTCCATGTGAAAATAAATAAATAAATAAATAAATTAGCTTGAGTTAGATAAAATTGCGATGGCAGATCAAGAGGTGTCCAATTTTGGTGCCAACACACCATATACACATTCGATGCGTACACACATTTACCATTGTTTAAATGAAAACTCAAAATGGTTAACCTTTGACATAAAAGATGAACTAATTCCATGCTTGAGTTAGATAAATTAGGAGGTGTCCAATTTGGGCGCCAACACATCCACACATTTGCCATTGTTTGAATGAAAACTTAAACGTTGAACCCCTAATTCCGTGCTTGAGTTAGATAAGTTACGAGGGGTCCAATTTGGGTGCCAACGCATTAACACATTTACACACTTTTACCATTTGTACCATGAAAAACTTAAATTCTTAATCAAAAGATGAACTGATTCCATGCTTGTTGAGTTAGATAAATTTCAAGGTGTTAATTTTGGCGTCAACACCATCCACACATTTCTTTGTGTCCACACATTTATAATCTTTTGAAGAAATCCTTAAATGTTCAAATATTCACGAACCCCCCCCCCCCCCCCCCCCCCCCAATTAACCTATAATATTCTTTCCCCGAAAAAATAAATAAATAAATAATTGTAATTGAAACCCTAACTCGAATCATCTCTTTGCATGTAGAGGGTGGGGATATTCCTGTTGCCCATCATTGACCAGTCCAAGCCCCAATTAACCCATAATATTCTTTCCCCGAAAAAATAAATAAATAAATAATTGTAATTGAAACCGTAACTCGAATCATCTCTTTGCATGTAGAGGGTGGGGATATTCCTGTTGCCCATCATTGACCAGTCCAAGCTTAGTGGTTTGAGTTTGGGTCTACTTGGGACCAACTTCTTTCAGTGGGCTGATCTCATTTAAAAGCTAGTGGGCTGGGTCTAGAAGAATCAAGTCATGGCCCACTTGACACTATGGACCATCTTCATTTTGCGCTAACCATGGACTGTGGACAAAACAGTGTGTATTTGAAGTAAGTTTAGATACTAAATTAACTTGGAAATTAATAATTCTTCATGTGATAAAAACAATAACTTGGAATTGATCCACAATATTTAATTTTAGTAATATACCTTGTATGTAAAGTAAAAAAATAAATAATAATAATAATAATAAATAAATAAATAAATAAGTATCAATAAAGGAACGTGGGATTAAAGTTTTTATGGGCTATGTCAATTATAAATATAGTCAACGCTATTATATTTCAACTGTCCTCATTTTCACTCATGGATGAGAGAGACAGAAGTTGACCCTTTGAACCAACTCTATTCTTTAGTTTGAATACTCCAATTAAAATTAATATATCTCACTCCAAGTTGAAACTGAATTTCCATTAAAAATTAACCACATACAAAAGACATACAAATCTCAATAGATTATAGGCTTGTTTAATTCAATTTTTATAATATGTATTTCTTTTTTTCGTTTTTGGGAATTGAAATTTAAAAAATAGTATTTAGTTGTCAATTTTTTAAAAGTTACATTTTAAATAAAAATAAGTTAGAAAATGACATTTTCAACAACCTATTTTCTTTGTAATTCTCTTAAAAGGATTTTTCGTTTTTGAATTTTAAAAACTCTTTTAAATATTTTTTTTTATTAATCTCGATATAATATATTATTTTTTTTTTCATTTTTTGAATGGAAAACATGATATAATTTACATAAAGTACTCATGATAAATACTTTTTATTTTATATTTTGACAAAAAAATATACTTGCACATTTGTTTACTTTTATAAAAACTTGATCCCTTAACTTTTTATTTTAAAAGACGAAAAATATTAATAAACTATAATTTTCGATGCGCGTTTCGGAACGTAAAACTCTGGGTGAGGTAACATCAACCATAGCACCATTATTACCACAATGGATGCCATTGGGAGTGTTATTGGCCCCTCCCGTCTCAATCCTTACCCACCATGCTTCCTAGAACTCAACCTATCCCACTAATTGTGTCATTTAAGTATTTATCAAGAGTACTTAGATTGAGAGTCTCTTTCAATCCCCCTACTATCTTTCTAAAATATAGAGATCTATAAATGTCTTTTAATTAATACTCATAATTTTTTTCTTAATTCCTATAGGTAAGTCATATATTTAACTCCCACATAAATGTATTTTTGAAAAAACAAAATGGTGTGTGCTACTACTCTATGTATTTTCAAAAAGGTATTAAATTATAAATTTTACATTTTACCTTATTTGTTTTTTTTTTTATAAAAAAAATGTATTTCAAAATTCAATATACATTTTAGGATTTAAACTCGTGTTCTCATACTTGATCGTTTGAACATTTACTGTGTTACTAAAGGGTACTTCACACTCTCATGCCTATGATGGCGGGAGTGTAGTTTTTTGAACTTTAAACCTTTCATGTGAAAAAAGAAATATCTAAGTTAGAAAAAATTACAAAACAATCCATAGTTGTCCAATTTTGGCGCTAAATCCACACATTCAATGTGTACACATATATTCCGTTGTTTTTTTACTATAAAAACCCTTCTAAACGGCCTTTCACATAAAAGATGATTAATTTTATGTTTGAGTTAGATTACTTATGATGCACGTTTAATTTTGGCGCCAACACATTTACATATTCAATGCGTGCATACTTAACTTTTCGCGTAAAAGATTAACTAATATTATACTTGAGTAATATAAATGACGAGGTGGTCAATTTGGACGCCAACATATTCACGCTTCACACATTTATTATCTTTTTGAAGAAAAACTTAAATGCATCCTGATTTGCATTTACTATTTTTGGTAAGAAAATTTAAATGTTCCTGATTTTGTATAACTGATTTATGAAAACTCGAACCCGATCTTTTGTTGTATCCTAAAGAGGGTTCCGATCATTATTGTTACAGTGAAATCCGAACATTGAGTTTTAAACAGTCCAATGCATAAAAGATGATTCAAATCCATTTAAACTCATGGTTTAGCGAGTGGACTTCAAAGTTAAAATGGAGTTATGACTGCGAAGGAGACAATCCCACCCCTTTCGGTTGATTGAATGCATTCACACTAGGAAAAACCCTCAGATGAGATGATATCGATCCGACACTTGCTTGGTCTTAAATGCATCACTAACTTCTAAACGCTTATCCCCAAATGCCCCCCAATTCGATGGATTAACCCCCCCTCTCGCTCCCTCCCTCCCTCCCTCGTCTCTCTCTCCTCTCTCTCTCTCTATCTGACCACCTTCCCAGATACCGACACTTTTCGCCTTCCCTATTATATCACTCAATATTATACGCGCTCTCTCTCTCTAACCCCCCAACTTTCTCTCTCTCTTTCTGTAGACTTTTTTCAAGGGGAAGGAAGACTTGTACAGTAGAAGAAGAGGAAGAAGAAGAAGAACTGTGGTAAACTTCTTGAAAATCTTTTCTTCTTTGACGTTCTTTGATGGTCGGTCATGTTGAACTGCATGTTGTTTCTATTTGTTGTTGCTTGTTTAAAATTTTCTGATTCTGGGTTTTGGTTGAATTTGTTTTTATAATCCCAGATCGGTCTCTGTAGTTGGAATTGATCATTGTTGTTGTTGGGTTATGCTGATTTCATTTTAGTGATTTGAATGAAACTTTTTCTCTCTGTTTTGATGAGACAATCTGATGGGTTAGTTTTGGGTGGATTCTGATTTCTGCCCACGGGCTCAGCTACATCCAAGTTTTTCCTTAGATCCAAACAATACTTTTGATTTTGATTTTGATTTTTTTTATTTTTTTTATTTTCCAGGAAAATGATGTGATTTTTCCTAGAAAATTGGGGTGAGGGAGGGGTTCTTTGTTTTGTGGGAACCATGGTTGTCTCCATCTTTCATGTGTTCAGATCTGACTGATATGATGAATCCTTTATGCTCTGTTTTTGGTTCAGTTCTCTAGAAACAGTTGTCAGATAATTACAAAAAAGCAGTTCTATGAAATCGGACTATCTTATAAGTCAATTTTTTGAGATCAATATTCAAAAATTTGTCAATAAAACAAAAATTTGAAGTATTTTCTAATCTTCAATTTTATGAGAACATAAAGTTATTCTGATATAACTAACCGAAACAGGCCTTGTATCTTCCTGTGTCTTTATTAGACAATTTGGTTTAATTGTTTGCATTCTTAAGAGAAAAGTGAAAAGGAAATGTTGAGTAAAACTGTTTGATATTGGTTTGTGCATACTTAATCTTGTTTAAGTAAATTTGTATTCTTGTTTGCTGTAGATATGTGTATGGGGAGACTAGTATTACTTTTTTGATAATTAGAATGCTAAGATGGATGAGTGGATGACTAGGAGAGATAGGGTCACTGATGAGAGAGAGAGAGAAAAATTAGAAACTCTAATTAGTGAGAAAATTAGAGAGAGTAGACTTAGATGGTTTGGACACCTAATCACAGACCTAGAGACGAATCGGTTAAACGTGGAAGACTAGTTGTAATAGAAGGTAAGAGAAGGAGAGGGCGACCCAAAATAACTTGGGATGAGATTGTTATAGGATTATTTAAAAAAAACTAAATATAGAGGCGAAATGGCATGCAATAGGAAGGATTGGAGAAAGATAATTTATGTGGCCGGCCCTATTCATATGGGATTAAGGTAAGGATGATGATGATGATTAGATGTACCCAATTTACATCATAAGAATACTTCATTCAAATTGAATTTTTGATATGCTCCTTTTTTTTTCCTTTCCTTTATTTTTTAATTTTTTTTTTGTTCCCAGGGGTTGGGGACAAATAGTCATTGCCTATTGCATAATTGAGATTGTTACAATACTTTATTCTAATTGAGAATTTCTTTTCTTTTTTTTTTTTTTTTTACTTTGTGTTGATGTTTTCAGGGGGAAAGGTCATCTGATTTGAGTAATTTCCAGTTTATGTCTTTGTAGGAAAGGGTAGTTTGAGAAATAGGAATCTGTACGTATTGAAGTTCTTGATAGTTCGGGTTAAATTTGGGATTTGCTGCACCAGAGGATGATAATATTTGATGAAATGGGTTTTTGTGGGGATCTTGATTTCTTCTCTGCTCCACTTGGGGAAGGAGATGCGATCACATCGCTAACTGAACCCGAGGCAGTTGTTGAGGATGATTACACAGATGAAGAGATTGATGTGGATGAGCTTGAGAGGAGAATGTGGAGGGATAAAATGCGATGGAAGCGACTCAAGGAACAAAAAAAGGGTAAGGAAGGAATTGATGCTGCCAAGCAACGGCAATCCCAGGAACAAGCAAGAAGAAAGAAGATGTCTAGGGCACAAGATGGGATTTTGAAATACATGTTGAAGATGATGGAAGTTTGCAAAGCTCAAGGTTTTGTTTATGGGATTATCCCAGAGAAGGGAAAGCCCGTGAGCGGTGCATCTGACAATCTTAGAGAGTGGTGGAAGGACAAAGTGAGATTTGATCGTAATGGTCCAGCTGCAATAGCAAAATACCAAGCGGATCATTCAATTCCTGGCAAGAATGAGAGCTGTAATTTAGTTGGTCCTACCCCACACACCTTGCAAGAGCTTCAAGACACCACCCTTGGTTCTCTGTTGTCAGCCCTCATGCAGCATTGTGACCCCCCACAGAGGCGGTTCCCCTTAGAGAAAGGTGTTCCCCCACCATGGTGGCCTACTGGGAATGAAGAATGGTGGCCTCAATTGGGTTTACAGATGAATCAAGGCCCTCCGCCTTATAAGAAGCCTCATGATTTGAAGAAGGCATGGAAGGTGGGTGTTCTAACAGCAGTGATTAAGCACATGTCACCTGATATTGCTAAGATTCGTAAGCTTGTTAGGCAGTCTAAGTGTTTGCAAGACAAGATGACAGCCAAGGAGAGTGCAACTTGGATTGCTATCATCAACCAGGAGGAAGCCTTGGCCCGAGAACTTTATCCTGACCGTTGCCCCCCTTTGTCCTCGGCTGGTGGGAGTGGATCTTATGTCATTACTGACAGCAGTGAGTATGATGTCGAAGGGACTGATGAGGAGCCAAACTTCGATGTGCAGGAGCAGAAACCCAACAATCTCAGTTTGTTGAATGTGGGGATGGAGAGATTTAAAGATAGGCTGCCAGTTCAACAACTCTCACATCTGATAAAGGATGAAGTTACAACCAACTTGGATTTTACCAGGAAGCGGAAGCCAGCCAATGAACTGAACATGATGATGGATCATAAGGTCTATACATGTGAGTTTCTTCAATGTCCTCATAGTGAACTCTGCCAAGGTTTTCATGACAGGTCTTCCAGAGACAATCATCAATTGATTTGCCCATATAGAAGCAATTTTTCGGAGTTTGGAGGTTCAAACTTCCATATTAACGAAGTGAAACCAGTCTTCCCTCCAGCTTTTGTCCAACAACCTAAGCAGCCAGCCGCTCCACTGGTTAGTTCAGTTGCACCTTCCTTTAATCTATCAGGACTTGGAGTTCCAGAAGATGGGCAGAAAATGATCAGTGAGCTTATGTCATTTTACGATGCTAATATTCAAGGGACCAAGAACTCAAATCCCGGAAGCATTGCTGTTGGTAGAGATCATACTCTCTCACAATCAAATATTCAGTGTCAACAGGACAGCTACCTCCATGGCCAAGGAAGGGTTGGGATAGAAGGTAATATGTTTGAAGGAACTAAGGTATCCATGAACCGTTCTTTGTTTTCACAAGAGGAAGACAGGTTTGACCAGTGCAGGGGTTTGAATTCCCCATTTGAGGCCAATCACAATGAAAACTTCCAGATGATTTTTGGCTCTCCCTTCAATCTTCCATCTGTTGATTATACTGAGGGCTTCCCCGGAGTTGCAAGGGATAGCCTCCCAAAGCAGGATGTTCCGATTTGGTACTGATAAGAAGATTGCTGCAATGAATGTCAAATTGTCAATCATTTAGGCTCTATGGAACCCCATATTCTCATGAATGGACCTCTACCTATTAAGAGATTTGCTCCCGGTCTGGTGAAAACTCCATCCCTTAGCCGATAATTATGTTTTGTTTCCTCAAGTTTGATGGGCTTACAGCTCCAGAATTAGTGTAATAAACAATTGGGGCTGGTGGTCCAATATTCGACCTTGCTGTTGAATTGTAGACTTTTAGTTGTTATATAAATAAGTTAGTCGCATATTTTCTTATATAATTAAGCACAACCATCCTCTTAGAAATAGAATCTTCTTGTGCTGTACCGTTGTTAGAATTTCTATTGGTTTTTTGTTGAATAGAATGTGGATTGACTTTCTCCATACGTCTCATTGATCATTTTTTGTTCAAGCCGATTCAAAACAGTTATCGGCCGGTTCCAGTTGAATGATATTTCATCATCGAGCACCAGATGGTAGGCATGCATTTACTTTAATCTGATGGTAGTTACTAGTTTTTTTTTTTTTTTTTTTTTTACCCTTTAAAGCACGTGTATCGGTTCCACAACACACACCATTTAAGTCAGGAATGTGTTTCGAAAGCAAGACTTTAAGAACCCTGCCAACGTCGCCATGCTCATAAGAATGTTAGTTGCTAGCTAAATGTTAAATATATTGTGCGGCCTGATTTATGATTTATGAAATGGCAGACGGATCAATAGTGTGTTGAGGAGTGTGGTATTACATAGATTTCTTCAGCTGAGTTTGGACATTTTTTTTGGATTCTTAGAAACCGAATATTTTTTTGTACATTTATATTGTTATATCTGATATTTACATTTCAATTGTTATGTGAGAGTAGTATTTGCTACTGAAGCAACAAATTGTGGACATATTATTTGTTTGTCTGTTTTTCAGATTTTAATTTCCAAGTGCTTTTTTGAATTATTCCATTTTAATTTAGATCTCATTTGTGGTTGAACATTTTTTTTTTTCTCTACATAACTTCAATCTTTTTATGGATTGAAAAGACTGATTGGTTGCATATGTAATTTTTGATTTTTGATTTTACAAGGTTCTCAAAATCAAGCCTCCATATTCTCTATTGTGGTAAATTATTATTATTATTATTTCATTTTACGACTGTACCAAACGATGACAAACTATTTTATTTAATATATTTAAAATACAAAAATTGGAGGCAAACAAATGGTTGTTATGGATTATTGTGAAGTTGATTTGTTTACCACTTTACCCATCTGACTCTATATTTTTCTAATTTATTTGAAGGTTTGAATTAAGCTCTTGGAGAGATCAAATATTTTATTTTTTTCAAGTCATCATGCAAATTCTCAATTCCATGCTGAATTTCTCTTTCAATTGGTTATGATTTATCATTCAATTCATTCATGGTTACTTAGAAGAGCTACAAGTCTTTCAAATAAAAAATTGAATTTTAAGTTTCCATAACTTTTAAACATAATAATAATGATGATAATAGTTGACCTTCAAGAATTATTTAAATGATGATAATAGTTTACTTTAATTCATTATTTAAATATTATTATGAAAAAAATTATGACAAGTGTGTGTTCACTTAAGTTCGCCCTCTCGTAATAGTATTAATACACTAATTATTTTTAGAATTTAAATTCTCAACCTTTCACATGAGAAGGGGTGATGCAACGTGAAATGAAGAATATTTTAGTGTTGAAAGTAAACACTTAATAGAAAATTATTTAACCAACATAACTCTAATAATTGATGGGAATAATATTAAAATTGCTGTTGCAGATGGATCAACAAATAATTAAAATAGTGAAGAATATGATCATCATTGTATTGTCCTCATTGTCACGATCATATTGATTTAATTCAACCCCATTAGTTAAATTAATTGAGAGGAAAAATATAATAACAAAATTAAAATTAAAAAAAAATACAAAGAAGCAATCCTCTCAATGGCATTTAGGGACACCTATCTTAATTTTAAAGTAACTTGGAACATGAACACACCTATTGATGAGCATCTATACTCCCCAGGAGGAAACACATTTAAAGCAACATCTCTGGCTTGTTGCAAGGTGTTTGTGTATGTGCATGCACCAGGACAGTCTGCAACAAATCCAACACTAACCTACATTCATCATTACACTCTGCATATACATTATGTGTATATATATATATATGGAATCCATAATAATCAATAAGAAAATGCTAGATCCAGCATAGTAATATGGGCAGTGGTTTGCACTAAAAGATGTCACATAGTGTAACTGAGAATCTTTTAATATAAAGAAAAAACATGTAAGATTAAACTATTTTGCCAAGTCTTGTGCATTCTATAGAGGATGACCTGTCTAAGAATATTTAACAACTTTTCTTGGCCATTAGGTTTTGGATAGTGCCTCCCACATTTCCATGAAGTTGGTCCACCCCCCCCCCCCCCCCCCCCCCCCCCAAACACACAGACACACACACACACTGTTATAAAGGTGAGAGCATTTTATTCAGATCTTGATCTTTGCAGTTCTATTAGGTTTTTTAATCTACATTATTTCTCTTGTTTCTTAGTGTTGGGTACATAATTTGAGGTTAATGAACCCCTCTCCAATTTCTCCTGAATCAAGACTCGATAAATTGTAAGAACTCTAAAAAAAAAAAAAAAAAGAAAAAAATTTCCTCTACAATAACAAATAAGTACATTACATATTTTTTTTATACTATGTCCAAAGATTTAAATATCACACGTAGAATCAACATCTTAAAATTGAAATCGGAATAAATTTAACTAAGAACATTGAAATTAGTCAGTAGAGGCACTACCTTAAATCGTGTGGGAGCACAAATTATACTCACTCCATCCTCCCCCTCCTTCCCAAATTCAGGATTGTTGGATTAACCATAAGGTTTCATATGGATTAACCACAAACCACCACTAGGGCTGTCAATTGGGCTGGAAAAGCCCAAAATCCAACACTCGCTTTGATTTTGGTTGAATGCGCTTGAATGGGTGTTGTATTGGGCCAGGCCCACAACATAATTATTTATTTATTTATTTTTTAGGGCAAGAATGTTAGAGAGGTTAGTTTGTTAGGAGGGAGAGGGTGCAAGGCTCCAACACGGTCCAGTCACGGGAAGCAACTAGGGGTGACAATTTGTATTCGCGGATCGTGATCGTATCGTGTTGATTTAAGGGTATTCTTTTTACTAAATAGCTTAACCCGAACACGACACGTTTAACAATCGCGTTAAGAACTTTCAACACTAACTCGATCTGTTTATTAAACGAATTACACATGTAATAAAACGAAACATTATATTATTTAAATTATTAATAATACTCAATCAAATAATAAATACTAAAAAAATATAAATTTCAATCCAACCAAATTACTAAATAATCTCTAATAGAATAAGTTATAAGATACAAATTTAGATAGGTACTTTAGATAAAAGTATTGTGATCGAGTCATGTTGGAGGGTCGTCTCAAACTTTGTCACACTTAAGAGCAATTCAATCATTCGAACAATACGACACTTGCGGCCCACAACATAATAATAATTTAATATATTTACCTTTTCTCATATGGCCTTTTTCTTGGTAATAAGTTGTACTATCTATGAAAAATTGGGTTCAAATCTTATTTATGATCACTTGGATGGATGAATGAATATGAAGAGATTTGATGTAAATAGAAGATTAGTTTAAAGTTTGATCAGTAGTAGATTAAAGATACAATTATTTAGATATTTTTTCAACTACAAGCTAGCTTAGTTGCTATATATTATACATTTTGCAATCCCTATTACTATATATATATATATATATATATATATTTAATAAGCAAGCAATGCACAAAATCATTTTATCTCATTTGAGAATTATTAATTACTATTTCACCATCCAATGGAGCACTAATTCCTCTGGAGCTTTCAATTGGGCTGGGAAAGCCCGAAGAGTGCTTTGGGCCGTATTTATTCAGGGTTTGAATGGGCTTTAGCAAAATTTTAAGTGCCAATTCCGGTGAAACTTAAAATATGCATATCTTGGAGTAGCCCAAAAAGTAATAGTAACTTAAAACATTTTAAGTTATTTCATACATATGTTCATTTTAAATAACAAGTTGTTCTATTGGTTGAGCTTTTGGAGGTTTTGGGTTCAAATATTATATTTGGAAAGTAAGATGGAATTTCATTATTCTCAGTTTACAAGTTAAATACAAATACATCATTTAATTTTAGCCCGTTCAAACAAAATGACTTGACTAAGAGTGGCAAGATGACTCGCCCTAGTGGGCCTCCACCCCGTTCGAGACAATTTTGGGAAAATCTAAATTGGGTCAAAGGGAGAGAACATGTGAGGGTGTTGGGCGGGGGTGGGGATAGATACCTTCGCCCCACCTCATTTGTATTACATTCACAATATTACCTATATATAGTTTGCACATACAAAATTACCCTTATGCATATAAACACTTTCTTAAAAGTCCCAATTTTCAAGTCTAAAAACACACTTTCTTAGAAGTAACCATTTTCATCTCAAAATATCGACATTCTTAGATGTTCTCTTCGATTCAAAATACACATCCGTAGATGTTATTCTTTTCGATTCAAAACACACATTCTTAGATGTTACTCTTTTCAATCCAAAATACACATCCTTATATGTCACTCTTTTCGATTCAAAACAAACACACCCTTAGATGTTACTTTTTTCGATCCAAAATACACATCTTTATATGTCACTCTTTTCGATTCAAAACAAACACACCCTTGCATGTCACTCTTTTGAATTAAAAATAAGCATCCTTATATGTCACTCTTTTCGATTCAAAATACATGTCTCAAAATATATGTCACTCTTTTGAGTTTTTTAGGAATCTTGAATTATGGCCATACCTTTATTAAAGATTTGTCTAAAAAAGAACTCCCTTTAATAAAGAAGTTACAGAAAAATAAAGTTTTTGACTGGACCGATGAAGACACACAAGTTGTCCAACAAATCAAACGTGATTTGGTCCATATCCCTGAAGTTTATTTTCCCGAAAATGGTAATAAACTCATTCTTGAAATTGATGCCTCAGATTTCTGTTGGGGTTGTGTTTTAAAAGCTATTCCACAAGAAAAGTGGAGTGAGCCCATTTTCACAAATCATCAGATAAGAGCCCGAAAAACTCCTATCTCAAAAAAGCTTCAAAAAGAAGAACTGATTTGTGGTTACAATTTTGGCAAGTTTAAACCAAACGAACAGAATTATATTATTTACGAAAAAGAATTTCTGGCCATTAAATTAGCAATAAAAAGATTTCATATTTATCTTGCTCCAAAAGATTTTATTATCCGTACTGATAATCAAGCAGTCAAGGACTTTCTAATAAACAAA